TTAGCCCTTGATTGGAATAAAGAACACCTAACAAACCTGTGTGGCGCAGCAGTACTGCAAGAATATGATGCCGAGGTCTAAAGTGGAACTTGTGAACTGCCTACATCATTTTGAAAGCTGTGCAATTGCACACAGTAGGAAAAACCCAGCGACTGTGTGTTAAATGGATTTTGGTCGCTATCACTTTGATTTTCAAACGTACTTCCTGCTATGAATAAATTAATGAGTGCCGAAGGTCAGATCAATTTGGATAACGGAAGCGTTTGCTACAGGAACTTCTTGGTAAGATACCGGGTTTAGGTATTGCTCTGCTGTGCCGAATCGAACAGATTAATAGAATGCAAAATTGCATTCTGCAATCTGTGGTCAGTAAACATTCTTCTTTGATGGTGCCTTCGTGATCCACTTCGGAACAAAAAGTCTTTCTTGAATCAACTTTAGAAAATAGTTCCTCAGCACGTCCAGGTTAACATGTTTTGTTCATTTGGGGTTGTTTGAGCCTCATTCAAGTCTCGTTCAAGTTTCTGACCCTTACATCTCAATTGTGCTACATATTATCTTTTGACTCCCCCTCCTTTTTAATCAGAATTCATAATTTTTTTGGTTTCAGATTCAGAAGATGGAGCACCGGTTATAATCGAACATCCGTTAGACGTAATTGTTTCGAAAGGCTCCCCGGCTACCTTGAACTGTGCTGCAAAACCACCCGGAGCACAGATCACTTGGTAAAACTTTTTCATATTATTATTGTGCGGTGACTGAGTTTTGAGCTTCATAGGTACAAGGATGGCCAGCCAGTCACCACAAATAAAGATCAAGTGAACAGTCATCGAATAATTTTGGATACGGGTGCCTTATTTCTGCTCAAGGTTAGCAGTGGTGAGTAACTCTTGTATACTTGCGTAATTCAATAGGGCTTTCAAGCTGAAATGTGCTGACGCTGGTCTGTTTAATTGTTGTATAAGTCTTGGAGTGGTAAAGAGCGCCAACCTTAGCATACACTAAACTTCACTAGAATTCTATTAGGGCAAGACTACGTTTCCGTACCCTAATTTGCTTTCTCCTGGATCTCGCAACGGCTTTGCTGCTTTACCTTCAGAATATAACAAAGTGCAGATACTTGATAGTCGCTAGTAAATTTCCAAAGGTTTATTCGTGTTTTCCAGAGCCATTCCTAAAGTTCACCACGTCTTTCTAAGCTTTATGTCACACACAGTCTGCATGTTAGCCAGAGTTTCAAAACTCATTATTTGATTAGTGATTGCAATAGCAACTAAAAGTTTTCAAATGAAAAATGGGTTTAGTTCAGATGCATACCATTTGACATTTTGGTTTTCATAGGATCGTCAATGAATATTTATATTTTTTGGAAGTGCCAGGCTTTCCATTCAAAGTGGCAATCCCAGCTGAAAGAGCTGTTTGTGAGCATATTTTCCACATTTTCTACTTATCAGTTGCAACAAATCCCGCATATTAGCTATCTCCAATGGGAGTAATTGAAGTAGGAATAATTCAAAACTCCATTTACGAACGTTGCGCTTAGCACTGGCCCGACTAGTC